CTACTCATTCAAGATTACGTAGGAAGATGAAGCATAAGGAACAGAATGTATATGTGTATGTGTATATGCATGTATACGAATCAGGACATGTGTATGTATGTATGCATGTATGTATGTATACATATATATGTGTATGTATGTATGTATGTATGTATGTATACATGTATGCATGTATGTATGTATGATGTATGTATGTACGAAACAAACTGCATAAATGTTTAGAAGTGTAATACAAACCCGAAAAATATTATCGATTAACGTCTGTAATTTTTACAGTTTCAGTAACGTAACTTCATTGACGTATTACAAAAACGCATTTAACAATAACAGATATACAATTTTTATGAAAAGAAGTACCTTTTACAAGTATAATTGATAGCAAAAATTAGATTTACTAAACTTACAAATGTTACGATATTGTTATATTATTAATTCTAATGGGCAAATTCGTTTTAGAAGAAAAGTGTTTACACAACACACTTTGGGCCATTTATTGCTTACACAAATAAAAATCAATTATTATATATCGAATGTGTAAAATCACCCAAAAAAGTTTCCTCTCTTGCGATTGGAAGAAACTCTAACATTTGCATAGAACTCATAATTCTTCGAAAACAAATTTGTACATGAGAATTAATTTCATGTCGATAATGTTTAGTTGACGCATCTCTTATTTAAAAAATTATATCTTGCATATACAATATGATTTTAGATGCTTTCCATTTGATGATAAAAATCGATAAAAACATCATTCCATTTTTCTTGACCTTCAGTGAATAACAAAGATATAACATTATATTTGCGTCGACTTGTATCATTAAATGAAGAGCACCTTTTATATCTTATAGATTGTGTCATAGAAAAAATAATAAAGAATAGATTTTAGAATGGATTTGATGAAACACACAACCAAAACTTTTAAGCTTTTATTGTATTTATGCTCTCTGATAAAGACTCTAAAGAGTACTTGTATTATATACAGCTGTACAGTTTCTATATTTGAATATTGAATATTACAC